ACGACACCAAAACTAACCTAACAAAGTAACGTAACCTAACCTAACCTAGAGGTTCGTTGGTTGTTTACTTGTATAAAATAAAATACCGGGTTCCTAAACTAAATGTTAAGATGTATATGAAGGCACCGTTAAAATGTATTGGTAAATAAGGCATCAACCATCTAATTAACCTCAGTAAAATGTTAAAATGTTTGGCTCGCCTGAAGATTTATCCCCCAGTTTATTTCAGCTGAAGATCAATTTAACCTTAGCCAATCTACGAATTACAATGTGCTGGTGAATCTTGATCTTTTTCAGATCAAGGAATGACTACAGATCCACCTACAGTACAAAACCTTCTGTTATTGGTGTGGTACAATATGGGGTCCGTGTGGTGCAGTATGAGGTCATAAGTGAAGTGTGGTGCAGTATGTGGGGACAACAGACCAAGAGTGTGAGAAGTGAAAAGTCTCCCATTGTATAACCGTATTCCTTGAGGTAAATTTTAACGTTTTGTGTGAAGGTGTGGGTGAGTGTAGCCTGATATGGTGTCATTTAATGTTTTGTGAGGGGTGTGGGTGGGTGTGGCTTGTTGGTGGTCGTTTAACTCTTTGTGTGGGATTGTGGATGGGTGAGGCTTCCTGTGGTGTCGTTTAATGTTTTGTGAGGTTGTGGGTGGGTGTGGCTTGTTGTGGTGTCATATAACGTTTTGAGAGTGTAGGTGGGTTTGACTTGTGAAGGGGTTATTTAACGTTTTGCGAGGGGGTGTTGTATACTGGTTGGGGGGGGGGGAACTGTGGTGGTGTATGGGATAGGGTTGTGTGTTCCCATATGAAGGAATTGTACACGAGGTGGGCAGGTGGTTGTGGTGAAGTTTGTCATTCAAACCAAGTGTAACCAAGCTGTTGAAGGGGACACTTAAGTCTTAAGGGGGCATGACAGAGGGAAGGTCTAGTAAGAGTAAACCTTGTGTATAGTGCAAGAAGCAGTGTAGAGATGTGTAGTCCACGACGATCAGTGCCTTGTCACTGATTTTCTCACGGGATGACATGATTAATAAACCAGTCTTCAAACACATCTCCAGTCATCTAGGCTATCTTGTTAGATTTCCATATGACTGGAAGCAGGTAGGAGCACATTTTTAAAAGCACGAGGTCTGGCAGCAGAGTGAATGACAAGAGGTTTCATACACATAGTCCCTGCGGCATTAGCACAGAGAAGCACAGTTATTCCATTCTTACTGACCTTATATCCCGGAGCTTTGGCTTCTGCTTTCATTAAATACGTCTTCTTTGGCATCTTTTTCCAGTTTAGTCCTCTCTCATCACAATTCCAGATTTGGTCTGGAGTATAGCCACCTTCCTCAACCACTTTTTTCCAATCACTTAACTTTTTCCGCTACAGCTGTGTTGGCCGATGCAGCTTCCCCTGACAGACACACGCAGTGTTATTCAGCTCTTAATGAAGCTGTGAAGACAGCCTTGGCTAGCTTGGAATTTGCTTTCACTTGCTGGCTGTCCTTCTCACTGAAGCAGATGTGTCTGTATTTCTATTGCCCCATTTTTTATCATTGGACCTGACAAAGCAACTTTACGGCATTGCATGTTTTCAATCCATACCTTGAGTGCTTCTTCCTTTTCTTGGTAAAGTGGTGGTCATAAGTGTTGGGTAGTCTTCGAAACTGCTGGTGCAGCAAATGCTGCACGAATCTTGTCTGCCTTCTGTCTGATGCCACGAATGTACTTTTGTTAACTCCATAGCGGCGTGCAACAACAGAGCCACTTGCTCCATGTTAAAACTCCTCTAGAATCCTCACTTTATCACCAATGTTGAAGGCTTTCCTCTTCTTTTTCTCACTTGAACTAGGAGGAGTGGTACTAGTACACTTAGGCATCCTGGTAGACAGTAGTAGAGCACGTGGTGCCCTTGACTGGAGAGCAAGATTGAAGTGTCTACGTGCGGTGAGAGCCGAATCAAGACTGAGCGGGCGAGCGTGAAGGCGGAGGTTAGCAGCCACGTGGCTCCTCTGTTTGTCATGGCTGTAAATTTGAAATATTTCCTGCCCGATTCCCTCGCGAAATAAAAAAAAATTATCGCTATACATAGAAAAAATGTCAATAATTTTGGTAGCCGCAATATATTCCGACCCTACTGTACTTGATTATTATTAAAAGATATAATTGATTGCAATTTTTTTTTATTATAATTTTGTAAAAAATGTGTTTCTAGAATGATATTACTGTAATAAAATGCTGGTATGTCACTATATTTTGTTTTTAAAATAATTTATCTATCTTTTACCAAATATCCAGTAGAGTACTGTATGTGGTAAAGTTATGTTCTGGACTTCCAATCCAATAAGCTATGAGTTAGGTAATGTGTAATGGACTCACAAAAAAACTAATTATAAGAATTTAATTTTAGTACAGTTGGCCCTTAACATACGCAGGGGTTAGGTAACAGAGATACCTGTGAATGTTAAAAATCCGTGTACTTTTGCTGCCCCCTGAAAAACCCCTGGCCCCCCATGTCCTTATTTACCGTATGTACCTGTGTAGTTCGAGTTTTTAAGACCAAATTATTTGGCAAAAAATTGGGGGTCGACCTCTAAACGGGTAATAGTTTTGTTAAGTTGAAAAATATTTACCAGTAACCACCAGTAAACAATGGAAACGACGCACCAACGCACCACCAGCTGTGAGTGTCGGTACAATTGCCAGGGCAGATCTCTTGCGTCATCAAAGCAAGCCCAAAGTAGCCAAATGCATGATATGGTATGCACAGGACGATGTAAAACAAACTATTCATTTTTTAAAGTTTATTTATAGATGCTGTACATAAATTTTTGTTCATTACATATGAAACATCAAGCTTTGTTAATTAAATTTAAAACAAAAGAAAACTACGATACCGTATTTTCATTAAAATATTACATCACAAGTATATTTTACCTTAACTGTGATTGAATGAATATATTCTCAGAAATAAATATGGAAATGTAATATTTTGGCTGAAATGACATACATATTACAGTGGAAAGTGGGATAAAATCCTGATGAAAACAATGACTTTCGCTTTTTCGTTGTTCAAAAGATTTTACCGTAATCGCTTTTCGAATGGTTTTCAGTTAAAAAACTGTTGTACTGTACTGTATTACAATAATATTCTATCCTATCATTAGCCTCATAATCCCACAACTGAAAACCATTCAAAAAGCGATTACGGTAACAGCTTTTGAGCGAAAGAAAGCGAAAGTCATTGCTTTCGTCACTTTCCACTGTAATACGTATGTCATTTCAGCAAAAATATTACATTTCCATATTCTCAGAAATAAATAGTAGTTTTGCTGAAATGTAATGTATTTCAATGTAAATTAGGATAAGCTACATGAAAACAAAAGACTTTGCCTCACCTTCCGATGTTCAAGATATGTTACACTGTACTCGTTTTTTTAAGTTTTCGGTAAAAATACTGTTATATTAGTGATATTCTATTCATACTGTGCTTGATATAATACATTCACTGAAATGGAATATTTTTGCAACTACAATTCTGATGTCAACACAAGCGTGGTTACAGCGAGACTGACTGAGTGAGGGAGAGCTATGTGTGTGTGTGTGTGTGTGTGAGGTTGCAGGAGTGGGCGGTGTCCTGTGTAAGGTGCAGCGCGCGAGTTGAATGGTGCGCGATTTGAATGTACTGTACTTCAATTACTTCAATGTACAGAATATTCCTCCGGCGGGGCAATCCGCGTATTTGCAAATCCGTGTATGCTAAACCCGAGTATGTTAAGGGCCGACTGTACAATGGAAGACTGATGAGTGTTAAAGTTGGTCATCTTTTTACGTAAGAATGGCCCAGAAATGGGGGCAACTTCTCAGCAATTTTGTAACATTACTTGTAAACAATTTTATTGAAATTGACTTGTGTAGTATGTGCACTTGAATGCCATTAATACTTAAGAAATGTGTGTGTGGAAAGCTTTTGGACTGAACCTTAATAAATACTTCAATATTTTGTTTCTTATTCTCTACTGATAAATCTCTAGCATGTCATGTCTGTTGCTTATAATATGCTCCTTTCTTTTACATAGAGTACAGTACATGGTTCACACCCACATAATAATGTTGGCTCTGTGATTCCATTATACATACACCCTTTGAATACATTTCTCATCATATCACAATTATACAGACATTTTTCACACTTGTGTGGGTTAGCCATGATTATCCGAATGCATGGTTTCTTTCAGCTTCTCTAAGGTTGGTTCGTATAATCCCCTCCCCCTCGTCTTTCTTGGTTCACCTCTAGCACGCCTCCATTCCACATTCAAGCTTCTGCATCTTTTGACCCAGTTGATCTCCATATGCCCGAACCATCTCGGCCACCCTCGCCAATACTCAGCGGTTTTCTCTCAACGTCACCTTGGACATTAATCTCGCCATTTTCAGTTCAACTTGCTCAAGCCTATGTGTGCCATCCTCTTTAACTGTCTCCATTTTAGTTCCTACTGTCCCTACATATAAAACTTGTTATTTTCATGGGCAAAGAACTATACAATACCGTACTCACCCACATGTTCCAGATGTAAATGAAAACGGACTCTTCTTGTGAAGGTGGACCGCAGGCAGTCAGGTTTGTGTTAGCTCGGTCTCAAAGTTATGTTGATCTTATTTAGTACTGGCAGTATGGAACACAGTAGTTAAGGTAATTCAGACTGGAACCAGGCCAATGTGCTGTAAGAGACTTTGGACCCCACCTTTTATTCCCAGCTTACCTGTTTAAAAAAATAAAAATAAAATAAAATAAGAGTTATCATCAAGACATTGGCATCAGTAGCATCTTTCATACTTTTTACTTTTGGCTATGTATTCTGATACAGCCTAGTTATTGGAGCCACATAGTTTTCTTGTTTCTATGTGTTATGTAGAATTTTTAAAAGATTCACACTAAATGCACCCTTTATGTATTTCTGAAATGTTTGTTACAATCTATTACACAATGTCAAATGAAAATCTGACTCAAGTACTAGTTGTAAATTTTATTTACATATTGTACAATGCAAGCAATTTTGTTTAAATCTTGCCATAAAACTTTTCAAGATAATTGTTACATTTTTGTAAAAGAAAACTTTGAGTCTTCACCTTACCCACATCAATGAAAATGACTCCCTAACTTGAATATATAGTAATAAAATGTATCCATACTGAGTTGGTAAATATATCGCAACAAGATTTCTGGTGGCTTTGATAATTAAATCAAAACTTTTTATAATTGTTTAGAATTATGGCCCCTCTGACTTCCTGCAGTGAGGGACTTGATTACCTGCAGTGGCAAACACTTGTTTCAAACTGAAGAGCTTCATCCATAAATAGTACATACTACTACAGTATCTATATTTAATGCCCATGAATCACATTCTTAATTTTACCATCTTTATTTATTCGTTTCCTTAAATGATCTACTGCACATAACAATATACGGGTACAGTAAGCCCTTCAAATTCGAGGGGGTTAGGTTTTCAAAATGGCCACGAATAACATTTGCTGATAGGGGAATGTAATATGTTCTACTTAGGCCAGACGGGAAAAGAACTTATAATTAGACTTAAACAATGTAAATAGTGTTAGGACAGGCCAGGAATCCAATGCTCTGTTGATTCATGAGATATAATAAGTATTGCATTGACTGGGATAATGCCTCCTCAATATTACCTTGTAATTCAACTGTCAGTAGGAACATTATAGAATCTAATCTCATTAAACATACCCGAATCTGTCAACATGAATTTGAGTAATGGCATGTACAAATTGGACAACTTTGTGATTCACAAGATCTGTAACCAGGTGAAAGGGTTGGGTCATTACCTTATGACCTGAATATGATGGATACCTGCTGTCCCAAGGGATTTCATCTCACTCTCCTATACTGTATATATTCGCCTTGTCAATAATTACTCCTTAGTCTGTACTCACCCCTGAAGGTGTGAATTACATGAAAGCGCTTGAGAACTTCGTGTTTCCTTGTCTCCTATGTGGTTATCAGCATACACTCCTCGCCATTGCATTATGCGCGGGGTCGCACGGACACAAACAAGATGAAATATTAATCTCGGAAGTTAACAAATTTTCGGTAGTCAATAGGCCTTCATTTTCTCTTGATACACTCCTGCAGGCGTGAAGGAACTGACTCTGCCAAGTTGTGGATTATTTGTGGGTCTAAATTATTCCACTCCTCATAAATCGCTGCCTCCAGCTTGGGGACGGTATTTGTGTCCTTGCCTTGTAGACGAAGCTTGATAATGCTCCACTTATTTTCTATCGGGTTAAGGTCAGGCAAATTGCTTGGTCAATCACTTATGAGGTCTGCCTGACAATCAACAAGCCATTGTATTACAGATTTTGCTGTGTGACATGAGGTACCATCCTGCATAAACACATCAGCGCGGCATTTTTCAAAAGACCCGGGCAAATAATCACAAAGCAGCTCCTAGTAGTTAAATTGGTTCATCATCACATTCCTAGGTAGCACAACAAAATCACCAGTTCCAAAGTACAAGAAGCAACCCCACACCATTAGTGACTCAGGATGCTTAGTAACTGTGCTAAAAGCGAACTTGGGGTCAAGCGAGTCACTCCCGGGGCGCCTGTACACATTGAAAGTAGACGTCCAGTAAAAGAAAACGTTGCCATGTCACACCACAGCAAATGCTGCCACTTGGTCGTATCCCACTGAGTGTTAGCCTTGGAAAAAAGCGATCCTAAGCTGCCTCTGGACAAGGATGAGGAGTGGCTTCTTGCATGCGCGGTGACTAACTACTACAGGTCGTCATGAATGTGGCGGTGAACGGTCCTTACAGAAACATAACCTAGAAGTACAGGGTTTTTTCTTTCATTTCCCGTGCAGACAGACGTGAATTAGCATCAAGTTGCCTCTTTAAGAACAGTTAACGTGCCTTGGGAAGTTTTCCGAGCCTTCCCTGGCCGTCCGCTGTGTACTGGTATTGCCAACCCGCCGTCATCTCGAAATCGTTTAATCCAAATCTGAGCTGATCATTCACTTACACCAAGAATTCTTGATATTTCCTTTACAGGTTTCTTGCCCTTATGCAGACTAATAATTGACACTATCTGCTCTTTTGTTAAATCTTTCCTCTTGCCCATTGTGGTAAAAAAGGCAAAGAAACAACGGGCGTTGTGGCAATAAATAGGGGCTGTCGGGGGGGGTTAAACTCATAAATCTTCAGTCACAAAATTTATGCGGGCAACTGGTGAACTTTTTTATCGCTGGCTGACTGGTCCTCGAGTCTCCCTTCGCTGCCAGACGTACAATGCCTGCCTCAGTCCCAGCTGGCTGGTGTGGAGGGGTGTGAGACACTTCAGCGAAGATCACTTCCCGTTGGCCACCTCGTGCATAATGCAATAGCGAGAAGTGTATATATACTGTATATACAGGGTGATTCAGCAAAGAGTACATTAAATTGGAGGATGAAATCCTTGGTGTATGGGGGGCGGGGAGCATTGCTAGGGAATCGGCATCACAGCTGGTCTTCGTTACTATGGTGAAACAGGGAGTGTACGCAAATGGTGACTGTGTTAAACTTTCACTTGGTTTTTATTTACTGATTTGGCAATACTGTACAGTATTTTTTATTGGTATTATTTTATTTATTCCTCATATTTCCTGGTACTGCATATATTAAGAAAATTGTGGCTACAGGAGGAAAATACACATGTTTTCTTTTCTTAATTACTCCCTGCAAAAGTGGGGGTGCATCTTATATGGTCCCTTTTACACTATATCATTATTTATCATTTTTATACATTTAGTACATTCGCTGTAGGCTGAAGTAGGTTTTACTGTATCATGTGTCTGAGGTGTCTCAATCTAGCGAACTAGTTTACTAAATCGAGCAAAAATTAAGGGAAAAAAATACCTTTCGCTAAATCGAGAGTACAGTACACTATATCGGATTCCGTTAAATTGAGAGTACTGTACCTGTATACTGTACTATAAGACAAATTGACTAGTATACAATTTGTGTGATTCCAAAATTCTTTTATATTTTTGTTATATATCTTAAGTGAAAGAGCTAACAGATTTCTTATCATTCACAATAGTTTTATCGAACACAAAATTTGACGACAAGGCTTTAAAGTACGTAATGTTAAAGATGTACAGAAAACATTTAATAAAACACACAGAACTGAATTACCCAAATTTGATACTGATTCTTAGTATTCATTGGCTATTGGATTACCTCTGCCATTTAGGAGCAATAAGGAACATCAATTGAGGTGAGTAAAGTACAGTAATGCATGACATCGAGGCCTTTTGAAAGCCATGGGTGAATAGGAAATAATTACTCAATATAGTACTTGTATATGGAATGTGAAAGCAATTTGCATGGAAGAAAGACTTGTTTTTGGAAAGATGTTGAGAAAATTTACCAGTCGAGATAAACAGCATGGACAAGTTTCACTGATGAACAGATACAGAACTGAATGAATGCGAGGGAAGATGGGCTGGTGAAGTTAAAATAGGCACTTGGACAAGTCTTAAGATGTGGTTTCTTGGGTGTAATAAGAGTGCTATAGTATAGTTTTTTGTTTTTTCTCAATACAAATGCAGAGGTCATAAACTACACCTAATTTAGCATGAATAATAAAAACCTGTACGTGTCATACATAGGATGTGATACCAATGAGTTATGAAACTCAAGGTCAACAGTTAAGCTTACCACAAACAATTCATAACTGCTCTAGGTGGTTATACTAAGCTCAGTTACTTTACACAGTTTAAAAACATATTCTTTTTCTATAAGTCAATGCAGCTTTAGATTAAAACTAAAGGATGTCTGCAGCAAAGTGGCTATAGTATAGGCCTACATTATATAAAAATATAATTACTTGACCTAACTGCAGTGTTAATAATGCTCTTTTTTCCAAAATGTGAGGTGGAAGGCTGAACTAAAACAGCCCTTAATGTTTCTTTACGTAACCTGTCCTAAGCTTAAATATATTGTTCATCTGCATATATAAGTTTTGAGAATTCCTTTGCTGCTGATGTAATATTTGGGTACTTAAATGAATATCCAGTTTCAAGGGCTTTTTTGGGGGTTACTTTCTGTCCTTCAGTCATAATTTTACCCCGTTCTTCATTGAATAGTAAGTTTACTGCAAAAGTGGGTAAGGGTACAAAAGATGGTCTCCTAAGAGCTTTTCCAAAAGCTGTAGCAAATTCTCGGTTTGTTATAATCTGTGGAGCAACTCCATTGACAATTCCAATAACATTTTCTTTCTCAATTGCATGAATAAAAAGACCAACTATATCTTGAATATGGATCCAAGGCATTGACTGATTACCACTTCCTACTGGTCCCCCAAAGCCCATATAAAAAGGCAAGATGAGCTGCTGAACCATTCCACCTTGTCGACCAAGAACCACTCCTGAAAAAAATAAGCACTGTAATTTCTTTTCTAATGGGCAGTCATGCTTATGGGACCCACTTTCATCTAGGTGAAATTTGTTTAAGTACTGTACAGTAATAGATCATGGAGCACTAATGTCCTTGAAGACCATCGCCTTTTATTTTTCTTAAAAACCTTGAGACTATTCTATTTTGACTGATTAATTAATCAGAATACTTACTTTTACAAATAAAGATGCAAAGACCTTTAATTTGCTTTTCTATCCTATCCTCTCATCTATCTAGAAAAGATTATTAAGTACAATACTAGTTTTCTTTGTTAGATAATCTTTATAGACACCCTCTGTGTTTATATCTCGCTAATGGGCCCCATTTCCTCATAATGCCTAGTTCAGTACGTTCTTTGTCTTTCTTTTATAATCTTTTTGGATTTGGCTGCAACACCTTCAGATACTTAACTTTACAATTACCAAGCCTTTTTTCAATCCATTATCACTGGTATGTTTCCAGATTTGTTAACTCTTTCAATAAGAAAAACTTAAATACTAATATAAATGAAGCAGACAGCTAGAAAGTTGCTTCATACATGTGCCATCTAAAGAGCAAGGAACTATGGATAGGGATAATACCTCAAGATCAAGAAATATGGAGTTGATCACAGAAAACTAAGGATAAAAATTAATGTAAGTAGGGTATTGGATTTAGCACACATCGAAACCTAAAGTCCTCTCCCCATAATTTGTATTAATTAATTATTATTACTAACTTTATTTTTTGAGGGGGGGGGGGGAGGAGCATTAAACTACAGGTTGTACCTCTCTAGTCCGGCAACCTCGGGACCTGACTGGTGCCGGACCATGGAAATTCACCCTTTTCCTGGATAGTGACTTGGCTTGGAAGCACTAGCACCACTTTCTCTGCTTCATGGTCTCTTTGAAGACATATTGAAGGGTTAAATGTCGTACAGTAGCTTCTCAAATTTCGCGAGTTTTTAATTCAACGTTTTCTATTTGAACACAAAAAACAACACATCTAAAAATTTTGACGGCGGAAACTCGAATTTCAACGGGTTTGAACGGCCCACCAACGTTCAGACGACGTGCACAATCGTGTAAACAGCGTCATTTCTCTTATGTACAAAAGATTCATTATTGTTTATTACAGAGTCTTTTTGATTGAATTAATGTTTGTGTGTGCAAAATGAGCAATACAATTCATTTATAATACGTAAAATATTAAAACACGAGGAAATGAGACAGCATTGTTTTCGTTGATTACAAAACCAGTGACTGACTGGTTCTACATATAAAACTGAAGAAAATAAGACCTTGGTTGTAGCTGTAGTAAAATTAATATGGTTGTTTTAAGTAATGTTAATAAATGGAACAATAGAAGTAGCTAAAGATAATGGTAAAGAAAAAGAGAGATCGAGTATGTAAGTGCGCACACGTGAAAACATATCGTCATTACTTTACATAAGAATATGAAAGCAACACTTATTTACTGTTCATATATATTTTAATTAATGTTTCTGAATTTGTTTTTATTGAATTAATGTTTGTGTGTGCAAAATTAACAATACAATTTATTAATAATACATGGAATATTAAAACACACGACGAGACGGCTGCCGGCATTGTTTTTGTTAAAGCTTACAAAACCAGTGACTGATTGGGTCTACATATAAAACTGAAGAAAATAAGACCCTGATTGTAGCTGTAGTAAAATAAATTAATATGGTTGTTAGAAGTACGTACCTGTAATGTTATTTAATGTTAATAAATGGAACAATATAAGTAGCTATCATTAATGGTAAAAAAAAAGTGAGACTGCGCGTATGTAAGTGTGCACATGTCGTCTTTGTCATGATCGTAATGACGGCTAACCTGTTAAACTAATAATCCATATTACGCTTACACGTCCACAAAACATTCCGAGTCTCCCAGTGGGAATGTCCTCCGTCCCCCGTTTCTCTGATGACGTCATCGAGATGTCGTATGTTTGGTGACGGAAGTTTGTAAATTCTTTCTGCTACCGAGAACCTGTAAACCTTTTTTTTTCACCTATGATTAGCAGAGACTCTGATAATCATAGTGAAATTGTGGTAGGGAGGTTAACTGAGGAATGAGTTGATATTCTTGGAAAGGAAACTTTAAAATCTGCTCCACGGGTGTTGCAGCAAGACGTTGCGTGTTGGGACCTGTTGCCATCCAACCTTTTATCTATTTAATTCTTGCCTTTGATAGCTCAGTCAGAGCATTGTTTGTAAAGATAATAGTAGGGAATGAAACTGAGTTCGTAGTCTCAGTTTCAAATGTCAGAGTGTTACAGTAACGTAATTCAGTGAAATGGTTGAGTAGGTGGAATCTGTGACTTTTGCCGCGGCTGGTTTTCAAAATCTGTGAGCCGCCACGCTTCCCTCCCACAGGTAGGTCACTCCACCTTCTCCGTGTTGTATTCACCATTTTTAAGTGATTTGACCTAACTATAGTTTGTTTGTACAAGTGTTAAAGTAATGTAGTTGATGTGCTTTGAGTGAAGTATTTTATGTCCTTAGTTAATGTCCCTTTGAAACGTTGAGGTTCGTTATACACCGTCAGTGAGCCGCCACGCTTCCCTCTCACAGGTCCCTAACGCAGCCTAGGCTGTGTCTGTAGTGTGGATGACGCATCCACTAGTCTTGGGAGATGTCTGAGGTCCAGTGGAGTCGGGTGTCCCCATGAACCCCAACCGTCAGAAGCTCCACTACCACCCATGGACCCCATAGGAAGTAGTATTCCCCTAACGCCATGCCCTGTGGTGAACCCGGATCGTCAAGCCCACAAACCACTGCCAGCCCCATCATTGGTGGATGAGTACAGTATATAGCTCTGTAAGGCTATTTGTGTGGTGGTGTTAGTCCACCGGAATTGTCGGAGTGTTGGAAAGTGTCACTTGGTAATGAGACTCCCTTGGCGGCCGCTGGAGTATTACCCCTGGGTTATTGAGTGTTGTACTGGCAGGGGTCACAGGTTTATTGGTGCTAAGGTGCTGTGAGAGTTATGTGCATTTTGGTGTGAGTATACCCAGTAGTGGTGCAAGTAAATTGAGCCTGAGGGCAGGGTACCAGGAGTTCCTGTTTTGGGTGAATACAACATCTTTTCTGTAACCATTTTTGTGTTTAATAAACATTGTACTGTATTTGTATGTGGGTCTATGATTCATCTATAGTATTCACCGTTGTTCTCTCCCAAATACTCGATACTATATTTACATGTACCCATTGTCCTTCCTCTCACGTCACGCTACCAGGTCAGCTTGTGTTGGGCATTCTTACAATTGGTGGCCTCAGTGGTGCAGCAGCAAGTAGTAACAACCAGCGCTCTTACATCATTACTCTACATAAGAATGTGAAAGCAACACTTATTTACTGCTCATATATATTGAAGGGTTAAATGTTGCACTCTATAGACAAGCAGAGAGAGAGAGAGCAGCCGAACTGCCGGATGTAAACAAACCTTAATTTCCCGCGGCTTTATTTTTTTTTTTTACGGGGATTAGCTCACCCGGGTATAGGTCACTGACCCACATTGGGGCCTGAGGGGCAAAAATTTAATACTCCTGTAATCATAATAATAATAATAATTCAGATTGGTAAAAAAAAAAAAAACAACAACTGCCTATCTACCTATTGGACAAACTAAAATCGTTCCGGACCACAGAATGCCAGACTAGAGAGGTACAACCTGTACTAATCTTAATGTTCCCCATGCACAATTGACCAACAAACACTGTGTGCATTACAGTAACTATGAACAAGATATAATAATAATAATAATAATAATAATAATAATTAACGGTTTATTGAAAGAGCTTGGCAGCCAGAAGGCTGAAAATATACAGTTACATATTTGGGGAATAGGTTTCGAATTACAAATAATATACAAGTAACATAAGTGATACAAATAAGATCTATAATAACTAGATGGGGAAAAGCTCAAACTACAGTGCATTTCAACATAGTGACAGTGCAAGAAGTAGTATTTACTGGGAGTGAATACACTGGTTTATTACAAGTTATTGATAATTTTTACAATGGTTGGGACTGGGGTGTTCTTATAGCGATCAGTTCGTGCACGTATGGGCTGGATGCGGTTGTGGTGTCGAACAGCAATTCTCGGGCTATACATTACAATCTGGTGTATTAACCTTATTTTTTGTACCCTGAGGCCGAGGAGAAAGTGTATAACAATAACTACTGGAATCTGAAGTGAAGATTCATTCTACCCTAAGCTAATTATCATTTTCAGCTTTTCTGAGGTGCTTCCTGCTAAAATCAACAACGAAACTCATTACTAAGACAATCATAAAATCCATAAAGTGTGAATATTAAAAATTTTTTGCTGAGCAGACTACACAAGAACAATGTGTTGATGGAATAAGTGCACAAAACAGACTGAGGCACATAGGGATGTGGAGGACATGGTTCCGCAGTCAGCTGCAACTATTATTGGCAGCTCTTTCTATTAGCTTCCATATGGAACCACTCCCAAAGGATATCACCAAACCAGAGTGAATAGTATAAACTGTGGGTGAGCAGAGACTACAGAAATACATGTTGACAGACCAGGGACACACAGAGCCCCAAGGCACATTGGGGTACAAAAGTAGGCAAAGTTCCTTACTCAGTTGCATCTAACTTTTTCAGCTTTCCTGCCATGCTTCCTAATAGAACCAACACCAAAAGTCACTGGTACAGCACTAAAAGTGCCACAAAATCACAAATATTGAGACTAGTACAAACTACAGACGAGCTAAGACAACTCATGAACAGGGTAAATATGGAGCAAGGCACACAGAGAAATGACTGAAGATGTGTGGACAAGGATGAAATATACCAAGGTGGGCATACACTCAGGTAGTGACTATATCATTAGTCCTCATGTGAGCTACCATAATTTCATACCACAAGTTCAAGATTGTGGCCTTTTTCTGAAATTATATCTACATACTGTATTTGTCTAATACCCCCAAAGTGTTGAACAAAGTCAAATTCCAAAATTGTGAGGGTTAACGGTCTTAAATAAAAAGATATTTGTAAATATCATATTAAGTAACAGGACGAAAGAAACCATATATGGTAGTACAGTACATTAATAAAGTAGAGTATTGCAGTACCTAATACACTCATTACCAAAATTGACCTTTAACATTCAGCTGGGTCATCAAAATAGCCTAAACACCAGTGCCAAGTTCCAGACTATGAAAATTTATAGATACTGTACTAAGACAACTGGCTCGTATACCCTATTTTTCAAAATGGAAAATTAAAAATGTGAATTATAACGAAACGCTTTTTAATAAGACGTCTTTCTACCCCACTAGACAAACAAAACAAGGAAGCATGATTTTTAACATTAAAACACCACACTACTGAGGGATCTATTGTCTTGGAGGGGATTGAAATTGTATACCTGTACAATAATGTATTGAATTATGAATCCTACAAGACTTTCACAATGCAATATGACCTTAGAAATCTGGGAGTGATAGCAACGCTGTGAATTTTCTAATTTTTTTGACAAAAAGTTACTCCTTCTCTGGCAGTGGTGTAACCAAGAGTCTCTGGGTACCCAGCAGTCCCATCCCTTGAAATCACTAAGCATTTCTAGGTGGAAATTATCAAAACATTAACAATGTCTAACATGTCATTTGTGGGGACTGAATTACTTACATTGCCCTTATTACAATACACTTGAACAACCATTTGAAATAAAGTAAACCTCAAAGAGGTTTTACTAGAGTTAGTAATCAAGTTGAAAGCCCATACCTGTTCTTATCTTGACAGTTCTTACACCAAGATCAGATGGAAGGTCTGCTGCACTTTCCCAGTCAGAACAGAGACGAGACAAAAAATCAAAGTCCCCACCAGGACCATCCTCAGTAAATACCTCATCTTGGCTTGGTGGGTAGTAACCTAGGAGATGCATCTGATTCAGCATTTGAGGAAATTTGAACAGTTTACACAATTAATAATTTAACTCGATACAGTCTCTCCTCGACTTACGACGGGGTTCCGTCCCGATGACCAAGTCGTAAGTCGAATTGGTCGTAAGTCGAAAAGGTGAAAATAATACATAGAAATTCTAAAATGGGTGTCTCTTTTTCTTCTCGGCACCATGAGAACTCTCACTTTTACGCTTGCCAGCCATTTTAAAGAGAATTACAAACAAAAATTTTGACAGTACACAGCGATCACTAACGTCTGGACTCGAAAATACGTAATGTGAAACATATTTTATACGACCATGGCCGTCGTATGTCCGGGGTGTCGTAACTCGAGGAGAGACTGTACAGTATTACAATAACTTAAGAGAGACAGTTCTGACTCAGGATATAAGGAAACAATAAAAATGTTAGACCATTTAACAATCTAACTCAAATTAATTGACTAATACATTGTATATGCAACATGTGTCTTTTAAAGACAATACTAATTCCATAATTAACCCTTGTCACACATTTCATAAACATTACCATATCATAAGATTATTTCTTACATTGAATACTGATAAAAGCACACAACAGTTTATATAATAAATGGAGGGCCGATGGACTTATAACATTTTAGGGTTGAGTTGGATGAAACTAGTGAGGTGCGAGATATAGCACTGCTAAGTGTCCCTGCGCAGTCTGCTGTTAAAGAAGCATACAATAATTAGTGGCTGAATGATACTATTTAGGCACTTAGCAGTCTTTGCACCCAGGTGACTCCAGAGTTGCCTCACACACCAATGAGTGAAGTATTTAGAATAAGAATTTTTGACTCCAAAGAAGGTAAACTTCTTGTGGAAACCCAAATTTCACAAATACTGTACAGGTTGTACCTCTCTAGTCCGGCATTCTGTGGTCCTGAAACTCCTGTGGTCCGGAACGATTTTAGTTTGTCCAATAGGAAGATAGGCAGCTCTTTTTTTTACTTATCTGAATTATTATTATTATTACTGGAGTATTAAATTTTTGCCCCTCAGGCCCCAATGTGGGTGTGACCTATGCCCGGGTGGGCTAATCCCCTTAAAAAAAAAAAAAAAAAAAAAACACCCGGGAAATTAAGGTTTGTTTACATCTGGCAGTTCGGCTGCTCTCTCTCTCTCTCTCTGCTTGTCTATACAGAGTACAACATTTAACCCTTCAATATATATGAGCAGTAAATAAGTGTTGCTTTCATATTCTTATGTAGAGTAATGACGACATGTTTTCACATGTGCACACTTACATACGCGCAGTCTCACTTTTTTTTTTACCATTAATGATAGCTACTTATATTGTTCCATTTATTAACGTTAAATAACATTACAGGTACTTCAAACAACCATATTAATTTTTTTACATTAATTTTACTACAGCTAAAATCAGGGTCGTATTTTCTTCAGTTTTATATGTAGAACCAATCAGTCACTCGTTTTGTAAGCTTTAACATAAACAATGCCGGCAGCCGTCTCGTCTCCTCTAATATTCCACGTATTATTAATAAATTGTATTGTTAATTTTGCACACACAAACATTAATTCAATAAAAACAAATTCAGAAACATTAATTAAAATATATATGAACAGTAAATAAGTGTTGCTTTCATAATCTTATGTAAAGTAATGACGATATGTTTTCACGTGTGCGCATGCGCACTTGCATACGCAATCTCTCTTTTTTCTTTACCATTATCGTTAGATACTTCTATTGTTCCATTTATTAACATTAAATAACATTACTTAAAACAACAATATTAATTTTACTACAACTACAGCCAAGGTCTTATTTTCTTCAGTTTTATATGTAGAACCAGTCACTGGTTTTGTAATCAACGAAAATAATGCTGTGTCATTTCCTCGTGTGTTCTTATATTCTACGTACTATTAATGAATTGTATTGCTCATTTTGCACACATAAACATTAATTCAATAAAAAAGACATTCAGTAATAAACAATAATGAATCTTTTGTACATAAGAGAAATGACGCTGTTTACACGATTATGCACGTTGTCTGCACGTTGGCGGGCCGTTCAAACCCGTCGAAATTCAAATTTCAGCCGTCAAAATTTTTATTGATTTATTTTTTTGTGTGTTCCAATAAAATATGTTAAGAATTAAAAACTCGTGAAATTTGAGAAGCTACTATACGACATTTAACCCTTCAATATGTCTTCAAAGAGACCATGATGCAGAGAAAGTGGTGCTAGTGCTTCCAAGCATAAGCACAAGTCACTATCTATACAGGAAAAGGGTGAATTTCCATGGTCCGGCACCGGTCAGGTCCCGAGGTTGCCGGACTAGAGAGGTACAACCTATATTGCATCTGAACACTCAGTTCTGTGTTTAGTTGGGACTTTGTTCTAGGAAGGAGGGAGGGAATCCAGGGCACTCATTTCATCCCCTCAGCTACAAAATGGATTTTATACTTCAATCCACTTAAAACTTACTGTAAATGTTCTAAATTGACATTATTCTTGATAATTCATATAACCAGAAAGTAAAAAAGTAAAGAGGACTTTAGATAGTTGAAAAATTACATAATGGTACAACTGATATAAAGAAAGAAATGTTAAGAACAGGGACAAAAAACACATTCAAAGAATATCTTACAAAGATGACCTTTGGTGGGAATTCTAAAGTTATTTTACTTACAATAAAGGAGGTAGCAAATACAAATAACAAAGATGATCACAAAGTGTTTTACACATTCAAAGTACAACATGATGGTAGTAATAATGGACTTCAGATCCAAACAGAAATCCACAGGGCTCATTTACCCCTTGTGAATGGGGGTCCCTGAGCTGAATAAGATTGTCTGGCATTAACCAAATAAAATATAAAAAGTGGTGTCTCCTTAGTGAAGGGACTAAACACCATTAAATGGGTCAACTGTCATGAAAATGCACACTGTAGCCATGACTATAGCTCACACTGGTCCTACCAAAAGTTAAAAATGGCTGGAAAAGTGGTAAATGTTGTCTCACACAATGCAAATCAAACTGGCCTTAACTTAGGATTGGGACCAATTTGGAAAGGACCCCAATCCTGTACTGTCCAGTAGTCAGGCTAGTGTGGAGCCAAGTAGGATTGGAACTTACTTGACCAGTCTCTACCTCACAAACCATTAAAAACACAATTAACATAATCTTCTTTAAGCCTTCAAGTATAATGCTTACCAACTCCTGATGCTGAAACGAACACCTTGGGTTTCGTGCTAGAGTGCTGAATGGCCTCAGCTAAGTACCTGAGGAAATTATTTAAATAAATTTTCATATCTGAAATGGAACTACAAAAACAACTTTGTTTAATACTTCTACACCATCTGATTCACTAATCAATATATCTTATGTCAATGTGTCACTGTCTTTATTCTAAGCAAGATATTTTAAAGAAAGGCTCTTCATAAAACAACAACATAGCACATTTATGGTAATTCTTACTTTGTTGTGTTGACACGTGATGCCCAAACATTCTGTTTAAATCCTTCAGTCCATCGTCGCACAGGATCCAAAACATTTTGACCTGCGAGACTGACTACTGCTGTGGTAGAATCTGGCAAACCTTTATTACTGAAGTCACTCTGCAATGTAAACAAATTATTACAGTATTGTTGTGGTAATATTTAGTTATTAGTTAGCTACAAATAATTATGTATTCTATGGAAAATTTATAGGTTTATACTAAAAGATCCTTTGTAATTTTTTATACCCGTAGTCCTTGGCCCAGCGGTTATTTTCACTCATGGCTGGCCCTTGATGAACATTTTCCTGATTTACCGTGTTACCACAGATTAATACGAGTTGTGATAACTAGCACTTATTAAGGAATATATAAAGAAGGCTTGTGTTTAGAAATGATACTTTGTACTTATTTGCTTGTTATTCACTTAACAATGTAACTCCCTTAATGCATATGCTCTTTCACAGGAACTGTGTGATTTTCTGCTCATTAAAGCCTCAAGTAAGGTCAAGCTGTTGTTTCATTTCAATTTAATGAGTAGGTATCAAGATGGAGAGATACCTGAGTGCCTTGAGGCTGACCCAAACTCCCCTACTGCTTCCAAGGAGTGGCTCCACTGGCACCAGACTTTCAGGAATTTCTCCGGTGCACTTCAAAGGACAACTGAAAGTTCGAATCTGTTGGACCTACTCACAAACTACATGGCTCTCCAAATTTACGAATATATAGCTGAGTGCACAACATACAACGATGCCATACACACACTCCAGAAACTTTGTCAAACCCAAAAATTAAATCTTTGCAAGGCATGTACTAGCCACTCGTTGCCAAGAAACAGGTGAGACCCTAGATCAGTACTTACAATCATTAAAACTCCTTACTAAAGACTGTAATTTCAAACAGGTAACTGCTGTTCGGGCATGTGCCAATTATGTGAGAGATGCCTTCATAAATGGCCTAGCCTCTCATGCTATGACGTCTCTTAGAAAATAAAACTTTGGATTTGCTGACTGCCTATGAGCAGACATTAAGCCTTGAAATGGCCCAGAAACACTCAGCATCATATATATACAACCTGCTTCTTTAGTTAATGCTGCAGTACATGATCCCCAGAAAGTGCCTGATAAACCTTCTCACCCACCCCAGCGAGTGAACAAGAAACTGTCTCTGTGGCTGTCTCCAGCCCTAGTCGCTGTTTCTTCTGTGGTTTCAGTAGGCATCCTCACACACAATGCCCATCTAAGGATGCCATATGCATGAACTGTAGGAAGAAATGGCATTATGCAAAGATCTGCAGATCTAGGCAAGCAAATAACTTCTCCACCAACATCCACTCTGCTTCGGTGACTATGATAGCTACAGTTGCTGGTGCTACACCTGCCAGTCTTACCAAGGCTGTACGTATGTTCAGGAATAATGATATACCTGTAAACACCTTGATGGACACGGGACGCTTGGAGAATTTTGTGCAAAATGACATAGTGAAGATGAACTTGGAAAAATTCCCTGATGAAGGTGAGGTATCTATGGCTGACTCATCTCTATCCTCAAAGATCTAGGGTACTGCAAGGTTGATCTGGAACTTCAAGGTGAAATTTTTCCTGATATCAAACTTAAGATTTTGCCAGACCTGTGTAGTGATGTGATACTAGGTCATGAGTTCCTGCGACATCATACCTCACTAGTGATGCCTTTGGGGGATCTAAGCCACCTCTGAAGCTGTGTGGGTTAGCAGAGGTGAAGATGCCCTGCCATCTCTCTTCGGTAACATAACCCATCGCTATTAAACCAAGACAGTACTCGGAGCCTGATAAGGAATTTATCAACATAGAAATCGGCAGGATGTTAAAGGAAGGAGTAATCAGGCCTAGTAAATTCCCTTGGAGAGCTCAGGTGTTAGTCACATCTGGGGAAAATCATAAGAAGAGAATGGTGATTGACTACTCACAAACCATCAACAGATACACTCAGCTGGATGCTTATCCTCTGCCAAGAATCGAAGACATGGTGAATGAGGTTGCCAGATACAATGTGTACAGTACCCTAGACTTGAGAAGTGCCTACCATCAAATAGACATTAGGGAGGAGGAAAAATTTTACACAGCATTTGAGGCAATAGCCAAGCTTTATGAATTCAACAGAATCCCTTTTGGGGTTACTAATGGTGTGGCAAATTTCCAATGTGTGATTGATGGAATTATTTAGAGAGAAGGACAAAAGGATACCTATGCTTACATTGACAACAATACTGTATGCAGAAAGACAGGTGAACAAGACAGAAATTTGAAGCATTTCATGGACATAGCTGACAAATATAACCTTACTCTGAACAAAGACAAATGTGACTCAGTTACGCTCCATCAGGTTACTCGGGTATGCTATATCCAAAGGTGAGATACGTCCCGACCCTGAACGTCTCAAGCCTCTGATAAAATTGCCTCTACCAAAAGATCCTGCCTCCCTCCGTAGGACTACGAGGATGCTGGCTCATTATTCCCGCTGGATATCACAGTTCTCAGAGAAGATTCACCAACTTGCCCACGCCAATGGATTTCTCTTGCCTCCCACTGCTGTTCAAGCCTTTAAAACCCTGAAGATGGATATTGCTGATTCGGTGATCCAAGCTAGTCCATTCACTGTGGAAACTGATGCTTCTGAGCATGCAATAGCTGCTACTTTGACTCGGAATGGGCTCCCTGTTGCCTTTTTCTCATGGACTCTCTCTAACTGTGAGCAGAAGCACTCATCAGATGAAAAGGAAGCATACGCTATAGTCGAAGCTCTAAGGAAGTGGAGACATTATTTATTCGGCCACCATTTTAAGATCATAACTGACCAGCGCAGCATTGCCTTCATGTTCAATACTAAAGCTGCCGGTAAAATCAAGACATAATATACCACCCTGGCAAAGAAAATGTCCCGGCAGATGCCCTCTCACGTGTGTGTGGCTCCACAAGTGATGTTGACAAACTGAAGGTGCTACATGATAGTCTGTGTCATCCTGGTGTGTCTCGAATGGCACATTTTGAGCGGTGCCGGAACTTACCATACTCTATTGAGGATGTTAAGAAGATGACTGCTGCCTGTCAAACATGCTCTGAACTCAAACCTCAGTTCTTCAAGCCTTATCCAGGAATGCTTATCAAAGCAACACAGCCCCTTGAAAGGCTAAATCTAGACTTTAAAGGCCTTCTTCCATCGCGCACAAGGAATAAATATCTTCTCTCAGTGGTTGATGAATTTTCGAGGTTTCCATTTACATTACCATGCTGATCTGACTGCAGCCACAGTGATAAAATGTTTAGAGCAACTGTTCACTGTATTCGAAATGCCTGCTTACATCCATTCGAACAGGAGAACGTCTTTCACATCTGAGGACTACTTGCCAAAGAAGGGTGTGGCAACCAGCCGTACTACATCGTACAACCCTCAAGGAAATGGACAGGTGGAAAGATATAATGGGATAATCTGGAAGACAGTTATGCTTGCAGTGAGAACTAAAAAGCTAAACGTTTCTCAGTGGGAGATGGCGCTACCAGACGCTCTTCATTCTATAAAGTCATTGTTGTGTACGGCAACCAACTGTACTCCTCATGAACGACTATTCCTTCACTCGGGGAAGTCTACATCTGATCAGTCCTTACCCCCGTGGCTTACTTCCAAGGGCCCTGTCTATCTGAAGCGACAAGTACGGCACAGCAAGAGCGATCCCCTCGTGGATGAGGTAGAGATTTCAGAAGCAAATCCCGAGTATGCCCACATCAAGTTCCCAGATGGAAGGATGACTACAGTATCCTTGAGACATCTTGCTCCCAAGCACACTGTAGAAATGTGCATTTACTGAAAACACTTATTCTCATGTGTTTACTACCTTTCTCCCCCCCTTTTTTTTACGGGGATTAGCCCACCTGGGCACAGGTCACTGACCCACATCAGGGCCTGGGGGCAAAAATATATTAATAATAAATAATAATAATATCAATAATATCTTTTATTTTTATTACAACAATTAATAAAATTAATAGCAAATTAATAATAATAATAATAATAATAATAATAATAATAATAATAATAATAATAATAATAATAAATAAATAAATACAAAAATGAAAAAAAAATAATTCAAGAGTGAGAAACGATATACATTATGTATGTTGTGTTGTCCATGTAAGAGAAACAATTGAGACCTGCAATTGTGTGTAAATGAGGCAGAAAGTCAGGTCAGCAACCTGGGACTTGGTCACAATTTTCGTGATGCCATATGGCAGCAGGGTCTACCATTAGACAACACATTATGCTTCCAATATCTTCCCAGGCGGTAGTACCTACCTATTTGGTAGCTGCTTACTACCTATTACCTGCAAATGAATCTACTTAAAATTATCTAATTCTTTAACAATACAATAACCCTGGCCACCAACAAACATCTCAGTAACTGTTTGTTCTTCTACACAAAACAGCTACTGTACTGTATTGATAATTTATAACAAAAACTAGGTTTGGTAAAACTTGCCAAGTTTATTCCTTATCAATCTTCCACTACCTACAGTACTGTACTTGCTCCATATGTTAATGAGGAGTTGTGTAATAGTTATACAAGCCAGAAAACATCTACCCTGTATTGGACTTATAATAAATTCATTGTTCACATACCCAAGTGATTCTGTAAGGACCAGGTTTTCTGGACACAGCCAATACATCATAACCTCGATGTCTTAAGCTGTTGCACAGAGCTGTTCCTATAAATCCAGTACCTCCTCCTGCAAAACACAATAGTGTAGGTGTAGTTCATATATTATAAATTTCACTTAAACACAATTCACAAAAATGCAGAACTCCCATTTGGTCTGAAAATCCAATGAACAAAAAATTAGGAGAAATATAAATTAGCATGACTGCCCATTAGGGACAGTGTGGATACAGCATACTGTATACTAAGCCTTCGATACGCAAGGAGGCAGCATAACCGGTACTGCTCTCGACAGCCTTCACTTCCCCATGTTGTAAACGTAAGTAGTACCTGTACCCATTTACAGCTGGGTGAACTGGAAGCACCCGGGAATCAAACCACTGATCCCCAGAACAGGAGGCAAGTGCTGTATCCACTCGACCGCTGCGCTCCATTATGATGCTGTGTTGAGGGCCAAAACACAAATCTGGTAAAAAGTACAATACAATAGTCTGTATTTATCAACAGATTTAAGGCTTATAACAGCACCAGTATATATAAACAAGAGTTGTGAATAATTGAAATAATTTTCTTTACTGAAATGAATCCCGTCTAATCATTTTTTTAATTCTCCTCATTGTATGCAATAACAGCAGTATCATTTTCTTAACCCAGGTACAAACGTATGATATTTAGTACTTTTAAATACCTATTAATTCTCTCATTAAAAACTCTGATGAGGTACAGTCTGTAAAGTATCTGTCAAACAAAAATCTACTTCCCAAAATAGCTGATCTGTTTAAAAATGGATGCTACTTTAGTTGAACTTAACCTAACTTGACTTGACCTAACCTAAAAATCTTGTAGACTGCATGCTATAGTAGCACTTAAAAATGACTTGAAACTTCTAAATACTACATGAAACTTAGTTATACAATACTGTAGCTATAGAATAATTTATTTTATCTTATTTTCTCTAAATGTAATATTTAGGAATACAGGTACAGTATATACAATTATTTAGTTATTTAAATTTCCATATACTGTACTGTACTGTACTGTACTGTAATGTTCTTTGATTTATCATAAATAAGAAGAATCAAGAAAAGCTACCTTGCCTACCAGGTAACTATCCGAGGATGAAAGTAATGTACAGTACAGTACTGTACTTTCCTCAACCTTATATTATTACCAATATTATTTTGGGTAAGGTTACGTTACATTAGAATTGGTTCAATTGATTCAAATGGAAAGGATGGTCACTGACTTTTGCTGCCTAGCATTTGGATTCAGTCTGTCCTTCACTGTGAAGTGATTCTCAGCTGATGCACAAACATGGTGTCATTGTGAAGCATGTAGCTAGGTGACAGTCTTTATACTAATATACAGGTATGGGGCAAATGATACTGGTAATACTTGACAAGTGTGGTCTAGCCTTAGCAACAACCTGACAAAATTTTTCCATGGAAAATAAAAAGTTTCTTATCTCAAGAAATAAGAATACAGTACTGGAGGAGATGGCTAACACCAAAATAAGTTGTTCGATTTCATTCATTCTTTTTCCATATGTTATCATTATAGTAAGCATCTTAGAACAGGTGACAACTTTTTATTTAATTATAAGTATTTTTTGTAGTTTTTTTAGTTTTTCTCTACAATCATAATTCACCTGTAGTGAGAAGGCATGAAGGATGCAGGAAAGTGCGAGGCAAAACACGATGAAAAACTGATTACACGACACTAAAATGATGTCTCCATGTGTGCGTGTTGTCATATGCTGAGTTTCTTTACAATCGACCCACTCGGTCCCAGCATACTATCATGTCCACAAAATAAGTAAAATACACCATGACACTTCAACAAAGTTGCTTTCATTGGTACCAGATATCAAAATAAGTACTTTCTGTTCAACATGGCGGGGGGTCGGGAGGCGAAGCCCCCCCCCCCCCCTGATTAGGCACTTAGGTGAGGTTAGATAAGTTTCTTTGGTTGGTTAGGTCAGGTTCTAGTAAATGTTGCCTCTTTTAAAATACTTACAATTATAATAAGGGTAAATGTGCTGAATTTATAAATTGTTTTTTATGAAAAGCTGAATTAATAAATTCATTTTTTATGAAAAGTCAGTGGATGTGAAGTCGAAAATAATTACCCATTTCTTCAAAGGCATTTCTGGTGCAAATTACAGATAAGCTAGATATGTAGCATTTTATTATGTACTGTATGTTCATACGTGGCGGTACACACCCAGAACATTGAACGACTGTGGAGCTCCCCTAGCTAGGTTAGGTTAGATTCAAGACTTTTTCCGATGATTTTTTATTTGTTTTGAACACCTTTTACCTTATTTTGGTAAATTTATAGTATTACACAGGTTTTTATTTCGATATTAAAAATAGGTTTTCCTATGTATTTTGATGAGTTTCGAACGAATTTGATATTCATTTCCACTGGAAATCACATGTTTTGTAGATAACCCTCCCACTCCCCCCCACCCAACAATCATAATGGGAAAAGTTGGATTTTTGTTTAGAATAACATAACTTATATTACCAACCAACAAGGAAAACCAAACCTAACCTAAACCCCATCGGAGGCCTGGAGCAATGCGTGAGCAGGGGGTCAGAGCGAAAGTAATAATCTTGAAAAATTGATATCTCGGTTATCCTTAATTTCCGGTGGAAATATCAAAGAAGAAAAATGTTATAGATTTGTGTAAACATTACGAGATACATATTTTTAATACGGAAATAAAGACCGGTGTGATACTATAAATTCACCAATAGTTCTATCGATTTAGTGTAGTGAATTTCCGGAATTCTGTGGATGCTGTAAACTGCATCATTACCATATTAAGAACTTCTAAGGAAAAAATGATTGAAATCAAACAATTCCTTCTGGTGGTAGTGCTGTTGTCAGACATTACCGTTTTTTAGGCAGTGGATAGGTTAGGAGAGCCAATTTTAAGTAATTTGCTAGAGAAATATCATAGAAGTGTCTTAGAATTTTCTAAACTAGAGATTGCAAAAATAAAATTCTTAAGATTCCCGTGTTGTGCGAAAGTAAAAGTTTACCCAATTTACCGTTTAATCATTAGGGTGAATATGCTAGGGTGCCTAATCTTCATGTGATCCAATTAAACATAGTGGTGCATTAATAACACAGTATTTACCAACAACAACAGTCCCAAGCTGGCCAGCCATATTGACTTGTGCTTATGCTATTTTGAGATCCAGATGCAGAGCAAGCACAGAACACAATACTGTACTATATGGCCCCAGCAATAGTGTTACAGCAGTTACACAACCAAAACTCTTGGGTCTTGCTACCACCACAGGCCACCAGCACCACACTCAACCACACACCTAAGTTCCAGGCAAGGCTAAACACAAGACTCATACCGCTGTATTTAACAAAACTTAGACAACCCAAAATATGAATATTGTGAATAAAGTTTAAATAATACAAATCCTTCTCCAAATTTAATACAGAGCACTACACATTTGCTATAATTGTAAGGTATACTGTAGTTGTACTTACCATTATAGAGAACTAGTGGTGATCCATTTCACTAAAATAGTTTTTTTAATTCAACAAATTTATTGACAAAGTTTGGAGTACAGTTTGCCTGTTCTGAGTAATTACCCAAATGTAGCCAAATATAGCCGGAATAAAGTCAAATAATGGTCCTAGATGAATAAATCGGACTGCTAATCACTTCTCGACTAGTATTTGGTGTCAGAAAGTCACAAAAAATTGGTAAACTTAATTTAATCTGAGTTAATAGATCAAGTGCATGTACCTAACCTAACCTAATCTAATCTAACCTAACACAACACAACTCAGATTAAATTAAGTTTACCAATTTTTTTTGACGTTATGACACCAATACGTTTTCTATGATAATCTTAAATATTTATGGTAAAATTAAATCGAGAGATGGCGCGGCAGTCAGGGGCTGAACGTTAATTGAATGTAGTACAAGTTCCTTGGTGTATTCCTTCCTTGGTATAACACACCATTGTGACGTCACTCGCAAGCCATTTGCCTGAGTGAGTCGTGAGGGAAGGACGTATTGTTAATGGCTGTTATGTGGTGATTAAATTTTTAGTATTTTTATATTAAGTTATTTAAACACAAGCTTATGTCGCCATTGTCCTCTGTGGTGAGTAAATTGTTGGTATTTTTATTTTCATAATTAAGTTACATGTGATGTTAGAGAGTTGGTTAACCACTGTCATGGTAGTTTGTCAACCCAACAAGTAGTTACTGAGAGTTTCATTCCATCATCAAATGAAAATTTTAGTGAAGATGTCTTATGAAAAATAATTGCAAAGATAAACTCTGCCATTTTATATATTATGCTGCCTTGGTATTAGTGTAAGTATAGTCTGCATTTACGAGGTCAATTGAACCCATGGAGGCCCGTGTAAAACGAGAAACGCGTAAATGAAATAACAGAACATATGGGATTAATTGAAATAGAGACTGGGCCGACCCCCAAACTCCAATTTTTCCAACACAATACGTACATTGTAGTAAAAATAACATCTTAATTTTATGATGGTATGCACACAATTAATAATTAAGAGAAATATCAATAATATTAGGTTTTTTAACACTTACGTTAGTAGAAAAGTTGGGTTGGCACATGTGGATGGCGGCTGGTTCCGAGGCAGGGCAGAGTAGTTGCCCTCCGGTGAATCACTTTCTGAATCACTTTCACTTTCACTACTCACAGAGGTTTGCAGGGCCTCCCAGACAAACCCCTCAAAGGCCATATCCTTACTGTCAATATCACTATCACTGACTTGGGCTGGCTGTGGTTGTGGTGGGTTGCGGGTGAGGAAGTCCCCAATACTACGTTGACTAGCATTGATGTTGTCGAGATAGATCTGGATATACGGCTCCATAACTTTCCTCAGGTGGTTATTAGACTCTTCATACCGATGCTTGTCTGGGTCGTTGTCAAGGATGAGCTTAAGTTTCTCCCCCAACTCGATGATTTCCTTCACATTATCATGGCTTGGTCCAGGTAATTCAAGGTTTTTCTCGGGTGGTGGGGGTCCCGTGGAAGCCATTGTGAGTTGTGAGGGGAATAGCGGGCACAAGAGAGAACTGTGTGATATATATTTTTACCTTTGAGGGTCATGGCGGTGAGTAGTTTTGCTGTGATATATATTATACCTTGAGAGTCTTGATGGAGAGTAGTTTTGCTGTGTGATACAGTCTATATTTATGCCTTTGAGGGTCTTGACGGTGAGTAGTTCTGCTGTGTGATATATATTATATCTTGAGGGTCTTGACGGTGAGTAGTTCTGCTGTGTGATATATATTTTTACCTTTGAGGGTCTTAGCTCTGCACTTTTAAAGATCTCTGGAAATTTAACCAACCAACACTTGACTAAATTGTTGTAAATTAGGCTCAGTAGCTTTGGTTGGGTTGGTATATTTTGTCTGTTTTCAAGAACTGCTTGATACCACAAGTATCATAAGGGAAAAGGCCTATGATGATTACTTTATCAATTATCAAATACTCTGTTGTTTTGACTTCCACTTTCTTCACAGTATCAACTTCGTGTGAATTACCAGACAACAGAGAGCAGCAGTGACCCTTGTATTGCTGTCACAATCACCAATGAGCATCCTGAAGAGAATATGGTGCTGAGAGACCCAACAAGAACCTTCTTGCACGTTACAGTAGGGTCTTCAGTGGTACTGGCCTTGAATTTAAAATGTAAGTATAGTATAGTACCTTCCTAAAACAAATTGTTCTTGCCAAAAAGAAATGAATAGGTACAGTATACAGTACATACTTAACCCTTACCGCGCTGATTCTTCATAACCTGTCTGCCTCCCCAGGTACATTGTTTATGAATCTTTAATTTCTTGTATATACTTTATTTTTTTTCAATTCTATAGTTTATCACCTTAGAATGAACGTGCAATAGTAAATGAATTCATAACTCGACATAGAAACCTCTGACAGAGCATGAAATATTTGGCTGGGTATGTTTTCGGGTGGGATTTGGCGGGAATTGTCGCGTGATTTTACACGCGGATTTTGAGCTCATTATCGACTCGGAAATGACACCCAAATGGATGGGAGGGTTTTACCAGTAGGTATGCTTCTTTAGTCTTCATACTAGTGCCTTACAGAGATTTTATTCACGCCCCTTTCATTTCACATACACAAACATCATTACTACCAGGATATGTCATTTCCAAGCCACCCAGGAGGTCGACACGTTGGCTCGTTTTTTTTATAGTGGTATCCCCAGTAGGCCTAGGTCACTCTAATATGTTCATGGTTTCATTTCCAATAATGTTCATCAATTTGCTCTGACACAATGTTCACTCTTTTATTCTCATTCACTCTCATCTTTATAATCTTTCACCACACTTTTCAAATCTTTCTTCACTTTCTTGTTCTAAATTTTCTTACATAGACTAAAACTAGACGATTTATGCATAACGAAAACTGGGATATATAAATCAAATGACTCTAGAATAATGAGTAGAATACACGGTAGGCTACACAACAAAACTAGCACTCTCATACCCCAGCGAACAAGGCGGCCAGTTGCTAGATATTAGCGGAGTGATACATCAGGTTGTCATAGCAACCAGTAGACGCCAGATCCGAGCTCAAACAATGGTGCGAAAACTCATGCCTCAGATGAGTCCATTAGCTCGGTATGCACAGACGTGTTATGGCCTCATATGAGTTCATTAGCGCTTTAGAGGTTAAGAATATATTCTAACTGCTTTGATGGATGTGTTATTTTATGGTATTCCCCTTCCTGGATATTAGATCATAAAAATTAAGTGTTTAGCGTATGTTATGTTTAATTATGTATATTTAATACTGTACAGTAAACCCCCGCTTTACACGGTTTCACTTTACGCATTTCCACGTTTACGCGGTACCCTGCCGAAACCGGAATACTCACTTTCCTTGGTGTGTGTACCCTTTTACGCGGAGAGCGGCGCGAGCAGGGTGCGCACAAGGTCGCCCAGTCATCAAAACATTACTGAGTTCTTCACCCGCCACCCACCACAGCCGGCCCAAGTTAGTGATAGTGATAATGATAGTGAGGATATGGACTTATATGGACTTTGAGGGTTTGACAAAGAGGCCCTGCAAGCCTCTGTGGTGGATAGTGATACAATTGATACAAGTGATACAGGTGAGGGCCAATAATCTGCCCTCTGCCTCGGAACCAACCCCCCATCCCCGTTTGCCCAGCCATCTTTTCTACTAATGTAAGTGTTAGAAAACCTAATATTATTGATATTTTTCTTAATTATTAATTGTGTGTGCATACCATCATAAAATTAAGAAGTTATTTTTACTACAACGTAGGTATTGTGTCTGAAAAAGTGGAGTTTGGGGGTCGGCCCGGTTTCTATTTCAATTAATCCCATATGTTATGTTGTTCACTTTATGCGTTTCTCACTTTACGCGGGCCGCCGTGGGTTGAATTAACCGCGTAAAGTGAGGGTTCACTGTACCTCTTCTTTAACATATTTATTAGACATCTCTACTTTCCATATTTACACCTATCTTACACACACACACACACACCTCATCTGTACACTTCCCTGTATTCAGTACCTTTTAAAAACTTGTCTTCATTTGATATTACCATTTAAAAGCATAATAACAACTGAACACTCCAGGACACTTACTTTCCTATATGATTGCTGGAGCCTTGGTGGGTGGAGAGAGGCACTGCACTTTGGCTAGTCTGACATTATTAACATTAAAGTAGAAGTATGTACAGTACTGTACAGTATTACACTAAACTTATATTTACTGTACTGTACTGTACTGTACTGTACTGTACTAACTATATAATCACTACAATCAGTGCAAGACGAAGGGCTGTATTAAGACATGCTGAAGCCCTAAGGTATGTCAAGATTTAGAGGCCCCATACTACAAAAAAAGTATACAGTACCTTCTTGTGGTACTGTATACAGTGTAACGGGCCGAATTTTCTCTTTTCAATAATTTACCATCCAGCTATTCTTTTCTGTTAGTATTCTATTTATTCATATACTTATATGTTCTGTGTAGCATTCTTTCCAATGAGTATCCTGTTTTATATACTTATCCTTCTTCAATTCTTTACATATATAGTGTACTTATTCTTATATATTCTTGCTTATATTCTTATATGTTCTTTATCTCTATATACCTTATATTCTTATATAAGTAACTCTTATGCTTCTCTGCTTATATTTTCCAAGTCAATGTTCTTTCTTTTCATTTCCTTTCATATACAGTATTATAATCTCTTCCATGTATTTTGTTCTAGTTATATTCTAAACCATGGATTAATCTGGGAAACCATGTCTTTCTTATTAC